AAAAAAGACAAAAGACAAAAAAAAAAAAAAAAAAAGTATTTGGCCTTTTAGAAACTGTTTTATCATTTATGAAAAGAATAAGATCTATTCTGCCTATTGCTGAAGACAGTTGTGACAAAAAATGCATGAAAGCATTCTGTAGATCATAAAGTGCTAGACCTACTGTAATTTTTCTTTTTATTCTTGATTAATACTGATTGATCACTTACTTCGTCAGTTCTTTCCCTCAACTTCTTAGCATAAAAAATTAATGGTTACTAATTTCAAAAATATTTATTACATTCCTATCATGCAGAAAGAATCATGCTACGCTGCTTTAAAAATACAAAGATGAGTAAAACATATTCTTGATCCAAAGGAGCTTATATTTTGTTACAAGAAATAGGAAATGTACACATACATAGTACATGATAAAAAGTAATGTCAGAAGTGTACATGAGATCACAACATATTAAAGTAGAAGGTGTAATAACTCGGAAGTTAATGCAAATTTTAACTGAAACTGCTCACCTTATATTGAAACATCTTTAAGCTCAAAGTTCTTTTTCTCACCTTTAGTCTGGCTGATAAGTGTCCGAAGTTCCCAACTTCTTCGAGTTGACAAGCTTGAATCACCTCTTGGATATGCTGGTTCTGAAGAAAGTATTTTTTCACACAAATTAAGATTAGTGAAATATGCTTATTTGAGAGCAAGACTGAAATGGTGAATGGCCACGGTTACCATCAATTGTCCTTTCTGGTGATAAACTTCTGAAGTGTTTGATGTAGGTGTGAGACACTGTCGCTACAATCAATTCTAGAAAATGGTACCAAACTAAGTTGCTGTTAATGAGGTTACAGGATTTTAACTACACTCAACTTTCCACTGAGCAGATACTGAATTCCTTGGGTATCTCCTTCAAGAGGCTGGCTTTGGGAGTCCCAGCCCTGCTACAACAGGAACAGTGAAATGTTCCCTGAGCTAAGACTCCTGAGGGCGGCATTATAATAAAACTTCAGCATATCATCAAGAAACACAGTATTACTTTTGTATTTTTTTTTATTTTTTTATTTTTTGTCTTTTTCTGTGTCCGGCAACGGATCGCAACCCTCAGTG